CATCAGGTAATCCGTCTGCTGGTTTGCCGACCTATTAAATAAAAAAATAAAAAAACTCTAAGAATCTGAATTACACACACATGAAACTTGGTAATTAGATGTAGATTGGATGACAATACAATACCAAACGTGGCCCTACACTAGGATTTTCTGTCGTGGGTGCAAACATACAATGTCACATACACATCACACTTAGACAAGGAACAACAATTTGTGGATCACACAAGGAGTAGTTCCGCTTATGAAAGCCAGTTGCCCAACGACTGCACTGCGTCAACTGTAGACTTGAATGAAGCTATCGAGCTGGTTTGATGAGAAAATTGGAAGATGGCTGGTGGGTTCTAACACCGCTTACTTGTAATATAATATTGCGAATAAGCTGATTATATGGTTTAATTCTCCAGATTATATAATAAAAAAAAACATGGTTTAAACTAACAGATCTTTAAACAAATACTTAATTTAATTTCAGCCATAGTCCACGAAGAGTGTTATAACTAACTATTACTTATTAACGCTAAAGTTTATACCTAATAATGTTAGTACCTGATAATGGTTCTTTGTTATTCTTTCACGTAAAAACTATTTAATGAATTTTGATGAAAACTAGCACTGAGATATATTATAGACTAGACTTACACGCACCTAAGCTTTATTTATGAGAGAGTTAAATGACATCAATTCCAGAACCTTGATGTCCAGTGATTAGGCGAAAGGTAGTGTCAGCAACGGCGGATCCTGGGGTTGGATCACGGGGGTCATGACCACTCCCTGGGCTGGTTCCAAGACTGTTAACCTAACCATTGTGTCAAGCAGTGTAATTACGTGCATTCATAAAATACCAAACTTTTCCTTGTATTTATTGTTATAAGATTTAAGTTATTGACTTGATCACGTACTATATGTGACCCCCTCCTAGTGTCAGTGCTGGATCCGCTCTTGAGTGTCAGACACTTACTTAATAGGTTACTAAAAACCCACCCCGTTCCTACTCCTGCTTCATTGTGTACACAATTCCGTGGTACATTATTGAGCATAACACACACCTAAGCTAGTTTTATCATTAGTGCTGAGTAAATACGAAGTTTACTAGTAATTTTAATGCAATAACAATATGCCTACAAACTTACATAATACATATATTTATATACCCACACTTGCAAGCAACCTGAAGGTTATCATTCATGTATGTACTAATTAATGTAACATTCTATTATTTATCATTTACATCTCCAACGAGACACAATAACAATTTTATTGATTACACCGAAGACTAGAGGTCGATAATAAAGATATACGTATCGCATTTCTTCAAAAAAGACTTTTATATGCAGTTGGTACATACTCTTTTCAACGCTATAAGTCAAAAGTCAAAAATCATTTATTCCAATTAGACCTTTACAGGCACTTTTAAACGTCAAACAAATTTTTGAAGATATAGTGTCAGTCTGTCAGTCAGCTCCTCTTAGTGAAGCTATTTGCTCGTTCCAAAGTATAGATTCCGATGGAGAAGAACGAGCAAGAAACTCTAAATATATAAATCTATAAGGAAATAATAGCATTTAAATTCTATGAATATTTTTTATATAGTTTGATGTACCTCCTGAAGTAGGACATGACTAAGGACTACTCCGGAAGGATTAGGTCTCCGGTAATCTCATTCACACGGCGAAATATAACGCTGTAGTTGCTTGACGCTGGTTTTCTGTAAGACCGTGGTATCCACGGGTTCGATCCGACCCATTCGTGCCGAAGCTTGGCTCTCCAACACCTAAATGAATAAAATGAGTAATACGCACTTATTAAATTTGTAACCGATCGATCATGAATTCGTTATGCGGTTTAATTTTTATTTATAGAAATCTATTTTAAAACTATTTATAATTACTTGGTTAATGTACACGCACTGTATAAAGCCAATGTTATATTCGTATGTAACTATATCGTTTATGTAAATAAATTATTTTTATTTATTTATTTATTTATATTTAAACATTACATTCATCATTACAGGCACACCTAATACGATAAATGCAGTTACATATTATTAGTAAACTTATAACACAATATCCGGGTAATAACCGTAAAATAATTTAGACAAAGAAAAACAAAAGAACATAAGCACAAAGAACCTTAATTAAACTAACAGGCTAATACATTTCCACAAAACTATCCCTAATAAACGTAAATAAAAAAAAGGCAAAATTAAAAGGCATTCTAACTATCGTGTCGTGTCGTGTCAGTTTCGATACATATTAATCTGTTATTTTTCTCCCATAATATAATTTTTTGAAGTCGTGATGGTCTAGAATTTAGTCTTTGCTAGTACTACTGAAGTGACCTTTTTCCGAGTTACACTTAGTTAATTTTCAAGATGATTAAGACAGCACTGAAATTACGGTGAAGGAAAACATCGTAAGGAAACTTAAACTATTATAAATTAAAAAATCGCAATCTTCAAATGAGCCTGATAACTAGTGTTAAAACTGTCTCCGGGATTTCAGAGGCTCAGTTCAATGCTTTATAAAATATACCTCGTTTCATATTTCTAGATTCATATCTCTATTTAAATGAAAAGTAAAATCTTTTTTTGTTTTCCTTAAAAGTGCTACAGTAAACATTTTTCTGAAAACTGCAATAAGTATTTTGCGTTGATTTCTTACCGTTTATTCTGTACTGTCTTAAAGGACCAAATGATATGCAAAAGGTTCATAATGAGTCACAGTGACAATAAATTATTAATACAAATGTCTTTACTCATGTATTACTATAGTTGTTTATTTAAATCAGTATTTAAATAGTCTGGTAGCCATTAGTCATTCACTTAATTATTGTTATTTCTTGCCTGAAAAATACTTCTATAGAATTACTTATTTCTATTAGTCGTAGTAGTGGTGACCCGGAGGTAATGGCGCCCGCTTTTCGTGCACGAAGGTTCGAAACCTGGCAAGAACCAATGCGACTTTTTCCGAGTTATATGTACTTTCCATGATTATACACCACTGACATACGGTAAAGGAAAACATCGTGAGGAAAGCAGGACTTATAATTTCTAATTATAAGTTTGAAATCGCCAATTTACCTTGAGGAAGTATGGTGATTACTGCTGAAACCTTCTCCTTGTGAGAAGAGGCCTTTGCTCAGCAGAGGGCATTTATAGGCTGATGATATGATTTGTTTAGCTACAAATCATCGTGTGACCTCTTTAGATCTATAATTTTAATTAAACGGGATTAAATATATATATCCATATCTCTCTCGCCCTAGGTGGGGCCAGAGGGAGAGTCAGACTCTTACAGACTAAACCCCCCCCCCCCCAATCCTTCTCCTGCCCAAGGCCGAGACCACGGTATATATTGCGCAATATAGCCCCATAATCCCGGCTGAGTTTTCGTTAACTTTGCGGTTGCAAACAGCACGTATCGAAATAACTGGTATTGTATTTGTGAACTAATTGTTGTAAAACCGAATGACTACATACTTATAAATAGTCTTTATATATAAGTAGGTACATAATAGTCACTAGTATGTTGTAAATTCAATTTATTTAATTTCTATGTAAGAGCGGCAACGTCGAAGTAATTTTCGTTGGTCTGATTGACCATACTAGCGACCCGCCCCGGTTTAGCAAGGGTGCAATAATGATAATAAAATTCTTAACTATTTAATGGATGTTATTATACATATTCCGATCTAACGTCAAGTCCGTCTTACTCTATGGGTGCGAAACGTGGAAGGTAACAAAGGATATCACTCACTTAATCCAGGTCTTCGTCAACCGCTGCCTTCGGCAGATACTTGGCATTTTCTGGCCAGAGAAGATCTCGAACGAACGCTTGTGGGAGGCGTGCCGGGAAATGCCAATAGACAAGCAAATTACACGCCGAAAGTGGTCATGGATAGGGCACACTCTCAGGAGAGGTCCCACACACATACCAAGACAAGCTCTAGAGTGGACACCACAAGGCAGGCGAAAAGTTGGCCGTCCTAAGCAAACGTGGCGGCGCACAGTGGCGGCGGAAATAAGGAGGATAGGACTGTCCTGGTCCGAAATTAAGCACATAGCCCAAGATAGGTCCAAATGGAAAAATACTGTGGAAGCCCTCTGCCCCACCTAGGGGATATAGGAACTTAATATAATATAATATATAATATATTATACATATTATAAACTTTTCTATTCAATCAGACACATCAAAATCTACATACTGGGTGTAAAAAGACACTTAACGAAGCCGTTAACTACGCATACTGCAGTTCTAACTAAGTAGCTTTACGCTAAAATTATCACTGGAAAACGCATTTAATCTTAGATAGGTATCAAAAAAAAAAAAAATATTGCGCGCTATGTAAAGTAAAAACGCTGTGATAAGTACGTAGGTCGACGTTTTACTTCGCAACAACAAAACAATTCTGTAAAATAAAAATCCTACTGAGATGCACGATGTTTTTTGTGCGGGTCTGCGTTTATTTATTACGTACATTACTGTTCGTAACTTCAAATGCGTAATTTATTTAGGAAAATCGAAAATTCAGGTAATGTTTCTTTGGAAAAAAAAATGTAAAAATACTTAGAATTCGATTGAGCAAAAAAAAAAATTTAAAATGCATCTTTGACTTTCAATATCTCGAGAACCCGTGGAGTCCCAGCTATGGTCTTAAAGAAAAAAATGATCCAAATAATGGGTAGAATACGTGGCTTTCGGCTTCGTTAAGTGTCTTTTTACACCCTGTATGTGTATTTTAGATATAGGGCCAGAGAAAGTGACCTCATTTTATACTATGTATTGTAGTGTTTATAAAAAATAAATGCCTTGAATTTTTTGCCAACCAAACCACGAACGGGCTAACCAATATGATTATTATTATAGTTTTCAAATATTTAATTATAGTAGAAAACTTTATTTTAAGGTGGAAGGAAAAACGGTCTATACGGAATTTTAAGCAGTATTGTGTTTTAAATTCATTTTACACTAACATGTATTATTTCATTGTTCCAGCGCAAGAGGACGATGCGAATCCAGATTACTTTCAAAATGATTACGACAGTTTCTACGACACATACGTCGATTCCAATGATGAAAACGCGGACGTAAAACAAGTAGATACAAGCAAGTCGGCAGAAATAGACGATGTACAACAAGATCCAGACACACAACCTCTACCAAGATCAGATGATATTGATGCCGGTGTAGGTGTACCAACGTCAACAATCACAGATTTTAACGCCATACCAGACTATCAGATCGAAGATAACAGATCGAAGGAACAAGGAGAAGAAAATCAAGAACTACCAGCTGAAGAAAATCAAGAGTTACCTGCTGAAGAAGAAGTTAAGACTGATAAGGTAGAAGATGAAAGTCTTGAAGAACACAAAGTTCTGCCCCTAGAAGAACCTGATAAGTACGATTCCCCTGAACAAAGTAATGAAGACTATCCAGATTTTGAGGCTGATAATCCCTTATGGCGCGATGCAATGGCCGATGATGTTGACCCGCTACCAGTGCCAGCAGCTGAAAATGATGAAGATATATTTAAGGAGACTGAAGATATACTTAACAGCGAAAAAGATACCCTCGATGAAGAGAAGCCGTCAGAAGATCTACCCGCTACTGAAAAAAATATTGATGACATCATTGAAGAGACAAGCAAACTTTTATCGGAAATGAATAATGAGTTCGATGACAACGATTTTGACACTTCTAATGAACAAGACCAAGAAAAGAGCGATGAAGATGTATTTAGTGAAAATAATGAAGATATTGAGGAAGACACGCCGGCAAAAGTATATGCCGACCTCAACGCTGATTTGGATAAACTAATTGAAACATTTAATAAATTAAGTGAAGATGAATCTAATGAAGATGAAGAAAACCAAGACATTGATCAAGAGTCGCAAGATTCTAAGCAAGTTGATGAATCCCTTGATGCTTTTGTACCAGATGAGAATATTGTATCTGATGAACAGAAAGATGATGAGCTTTTCAAAGATGAATTAGGAGCAGATGAGGATATTGTCTCTGATGAACATAAAGATGATGATTATGTCCAAATCGAAGATAGCAATTTGTCAGAAATATTTGCTGAAAACGAAAAAGATGAAAACAAATTAGAGTCAAAACAAGTTGATGACAACGTTGAACAGGAGGAAAACATGGGAGAAACTGCAACCACTGCTGCACCAAAAGAAAATGATGACGACATAAAAGTGATCGACTACAAAGATAATTACGATGAGCTTACTGATACTGAACCAAACGCAGATGATGATATCGATAGTATCATAAAACAGATATTTACTGAAGACATCAAAGAGCCACAGCCATATGGAGACGATGGTTTGGTTGATGAGAAGCAAACTGAAAATGCAGATGCAGCTGTGTTTGAAACAACAGAGAATGCCGTTGAGCAAAGGACAAAGATGGTCGATGATTTGAACAGTGCTGAGCTCGAACAGCTTAACAGACAGTTTGTTGCTACTCACCAGGACGAATTAGACCCAAATTCTGATAGTTTTGCTAAACATGTGGCACCTGTTCATCTTACCTTGTCTGTAGATGCACCTACCGTCATACAATCCCCTAACTTCCCTAGTCCCTACCCTCCAAACAATGTCATTGATTGGATTCTAGATGGACCAGGTCATGGCATTGAGCTAAACATATCTAGCTTGGCACTCAATTCAGTCGCTGGCGACTTTGTCCTTATTAAACCAGGTAATTTTATTAAATTTCTATTATTATAGTATTTTTAAGTACTTGCAGTAGTGTATGCTTTAATTAAATTTATTAAGGTTGAGGCTAGAGAGAGTGTCCCAGTCATACTGAATAAAACCCAGGACGTTTGAACTTCTGACCGCTATATGTCACGGCGGACATTTACCCTAGTCGGCCTCATTATTGGTAGTCTAGCTAGAGGCTCTAAGCAAGCACGAGAAACGCTTAACTTATAATTGTAAAGAAGTCAACAATCTCCCTTCAGCGCGCATGCTGAAGCTGAGCTGCTGAGCAGTAAGCTCATTACTATTCTGTACGAGAAGAAGTCTTTGCTCAGCAGTTTGATGACATCCCCTTCCAAGTCCTTGATGATGATAACTTGTGATTAATTTCAGGTGGTCTAGATGCTGAGGGTTCAGACGGGCTGGTATTCGCCCATCGCCTGACATCAGAACGCAAATACAGGTTCACTGGAGTAGATCGCGTCTTCATCAGGTTCCAAGCCAACCAAATCAACTGGCAATTGCAGCCTGGGTTCAGCATGTCTGTCAAAATGATCTGTAAGTCTTTATTTTGTGAAAACCATTTATACTATTTTTTTTTATACTATTGAAAAGTTTAAGCTGTTTATGTTGCTATGAGATAGGGTGGCAAACTGGTATACGGGTTGATAGATTGATGCAAATCAATCTACGCTGCCTATGGACACCAACCACAAAGAAAGAGTTACGATTGCATAGCCTACATAGCATGTTGGGGATTAGGATTTCGGTGATTTGGGGATTGGGGAGGGATTAGGGGCGGAGAAGGATTGACTTCCAGTAATATCAGTCACACGTTGAAACACAACGCAGTGGTTGTTTTACGCTGGTTGTCTGTGAAGCCGTGGTTTCGCTCTGGTCGAGCCGCCCCATTAGTGTCGAATCTTGGCACTCCCACACTTGGAGATCACGATTATGCCAGGGAAGTATATTGTGCAGTAGTGCAATATAATGATGGGCTGCTTAATGATAAAAGAAAGAAACAGACAGGTCAAAAAGCAGAGATGACGACAATTCAAATTAACTTTCAGGGCCCCTCCCTGAACTTCAAGAAGACCTGCCTGATGCCGAGGCGGTTATCCAGCCACCAAAAGAGACGCTGACCTTGAACCTGGCTGGACTCACCTTGGCTCAGTTCAAGGACATTAAGAATGACTTCCAGCTGTTAATAGCTGACATGGCTAAGGCATACATCCGAGACAACAATATCGAGCAAGGATTAAATACCACGTAAGTAATTTTCTCTTTTATTTCGTAAATAAAGAGATGGTTGGCCTGATGGTAAGCAAGGGAAGCCGTCTATGAACACCAGTGTTTTTCAAGCCTGCTTTTTGATTCTATAGTTATTGATTTTAATAAAATGTTTGCGGTAATCGTTGCTTGCGTAAGCCTACATCATGCACATCAACAACACCAGATAAAATCACTACTACATTTTCTTAATTATCTTTGCTCTACGGATCACTGACAAATCGGTTTGATCATCTTTATTCTTTCTTCTTCATACAATCTGTAATGGTGTGAGAGAGTGAGTTAATCACTAGATCAAAATCCAATAGCGTCTTCCTTAACATTTGGCCGATTCATTTCAATTGTTTTATAAAATATATGTATGTATATTTTTTTAAATAGTTAAATATAAGTATAGATTTTTAGGTACAGTTTTATAGTATTAAAATTAAAATACTATTTGAATAAAACTTAGATACAGCTACCAACAAATTTAATAAACAAATAAAAAAAATGTGTTACGATAAATTATCCATCAGAAAGGTTACGAGTGCTTACACAACCTTTTGCGGATTAGGGTTTTGGAGATTTAGGGATCGGGGGAGGGGAGGACTGGACCTCCGATCACCACACTCACACAGCGAAACACAATGCCCTTATACATTATACCTAATCAAATATCAATTAGGTCCATACTTTAATTGATCGAAGTTAATAACTACTACCACTGTTAATTGAACCCTCACGATTACAATATCAGTCGCCGACGGAGGTCAATGTTTTTTAGGCATAACATATTCTTATCAGAATAAAAATAAAAATTTATTGTTTTATCACTCCTTTGTCTAGCACGTCTCTTTACGATAATCCAGTGATATGTTATCACAACTGAATCATCGAAAACACAAAACATTTAGTTTTAACCGACTTCAAATAAAGAAGGGTATTTATTAAAAATAATAATAGATGTATAAACATCATCATCATCAGCCTATAAGTGCCCTCTGCTGAGCAAAGGCCTTCTCATACGGAGAAGGTTTGAGCATTAATCATCTCGCTATCTCAAGGCGGATTGGCGATTGCAAACTTATAATTAGAAATTATGAGTCCAGGATTCCTCTCGATGTTTTCCTTCACCGTATGTCAGTGGTGTCTAAATAATCATAGAAAGTAAGTACATATAACTCGAAAAAGGTATAAACATTGGTACCTACCAGGTTCCGAACCCACACTATCATGCATGAGAAGCGGTCGCTTTAACCTTCAGAAGAAGACGTCAAAGACGAAGTCGAAGACGTCGAATTATAATTGCACATGTAGACATAGTACTAGATTTTTTTTATGTAATACCTACTAAATTGTTAATACGTTTCTCAGAAACCGCTAATTCAATAATGATAAAACGTCAGCAATCCACCTGAATTCGAAAAAGCAAGAAAAGTATTTTTTGCAACCTTATTAATAGGTACTGATAACATTAATAATGAATACAAATTGAAAAACTTGTAAATTTTATCACATTTGACGATCATTACTAGAAAATAAAATTTAATTTATACATCTAATCTTAATCTGCAATTTAAAACAAAAAGAATAATCTTTTTTATGTTACCGATATATTGTTGTTGTGAGTAATTGGCATTCATTTATAATAAACAATACTCCGAACAAAGAAAATATAATAATCTATCTCTCTAAACAAAAAATAGGGTATCTTTTAATAATTGTTGTTTGATTACCTACTTTGTTTTTAAGACATATAAGTCGCTTTTTCCATGAAACCCCGCAGTAGGTGATATGAAAACAGAATGGACTAATTGTATAGTTCTAAATGCGGAACTCTCAACTTTGTCGCATGCAACGTTTTAGTATACAGGCGCACAACATATACATAGTAGATGTAGGTACGTAGCCACACACACGTTGGTATGTGTACGAACAAGAGGATTCTATTCTCGGCGACGTCCACGTCATACTGACCTACTTACGTATCAATCTATATGACAAAACCCATTCACTAACTAATTGTATTAGTATAACAACAACTAACTATATTAATAAAATATTTTACAATGTTTATCACAATAAAAGTACTCCCAAAAGTCTCGAGAGAGGTTCAAGGTTCCGCGCATGCGTGAACCCGAATTCTGACGCCTGCGCGGTGCAAACGTCAAATCTATTTCAGTAAAGCTTACGAGACGAGCTTATAGAACCGCTTATAAACGAAATAATACATTAAAATTATTGCAATACAGTTTAATAGGAAACAGTGCGTGATTATAGTGGAAACTGTGAAGGATGTGCACGAAAACGAAACATTAACATGTTAATAATAAGAATGAATATCCAAAATGCAGCATTGCGCCAACGAATCGATTCGAACGTTCCCTGATGCCAAATACAGTATTTAGTGTGAAATATACACAGAATGGAGCCCCTAATAGACAGGAACAACTTCGCTATAAGCGCTATGGTGACGGTCGCGATGCAGATCCTGTTCTTCACCATAGCCTCGTTGTTCCAGAACGATAAAGTGACTGACTTCACTGGCGGGGCTAACTTTATTATTATAGCCCTGTTGACTTTCTTCCTCGGACAAGGAGGCTCCCACCTCAAGAGTTACGACAGCCGGCAGCTCATGGTGACTGCCTTCGTGTGCCTCTGGGGAGTCAGGCTCTCTGGCTACCTCATTTACAGAATCTATCATATAGGTAGAGATAAGCAGTTCGAGGATCGTAAAAGTAATACTCTGAGGTTTGCAGTCTTCTATACGTTTCAGGCAGTATGGGTATACATAGTTAGCTTGCCAGTTATTATAATGAACTCGCCGCATCACTCCTTCCCCAAGTCTCCGAAGACAATGACAACATTGGATTCAGCTGGCGCCGGAATATTTGTCATCGGGTTGTTGATCGAGACATACGCTGATCTGCAGAAGTTTGCATTCAGACAGGAACCAGCTAACCAAGGCAAGTGGTGCAATGACGGACTCTGGGGACTGTCGAGACATCCGAACTATTTCGGAGAAGTAGTGCTGTGGTGGGGAATATTTGTGATATCACTAAACGTAATTAATGGCATCGAATGGATCGCGATCCTATCTCCATTATTTACGACGGCGATCATATTGTTCTTATCTGGTATACCGCTCCTCGAACGATCGGCTGACGAAAAGTACAGAGATAACCCAGATTATTTGTATTACAAAGCGTCGACTTCGCCCCTGATACCGATTCCACCAGCAATCTATGTAGAAGTGCCACGATTTTTGAAGTTCGTCTTGTGTTGCGAGTTCCCCATCTACGACTCGACCACTGAAGAGTTCCCCGCGCCTACTATTGTTACGGAGACAACCAGCATTTCGATGGTGCAGTCTCAGACATAGCTAACAAATGCCGCGCGCGACATCGCCGCGGCTACCGACCAGATAGTCAAACAGCAAAATCAGAAACAATTGTGATACACAGCCGAGGACAGACAACAACGGCTGCCAAATTCTTTGCCACTTAAACATAATAACACTGTAGATATGAACCTCCACAATAGTTATATGGAAAACATTAAGAAAAGTAAACGTATAGCTTTAGGACTTATAGACGAGACGAGGGACTATACTACCGCGAACTCACCTGATATAGACAGGGATATAGATTTAGCTGTGCCTAGTACTAGTCACGCCAAACGACCTCATGAGATAGTCAAGTATGGTAAAATTACTTTTAACACAACTGCGATATTGCATCATTATCCTCAAGTATCTAATAATGAAAGAAATTTACATTGTAGTAAAGAAGCTAAGAAGAAGTCTGACTTGAACCTCGATGAAATTAAGCCAGATAATAACAATGCATCGACTGCAGAAGAAGTAGTGGTAGACAAGAAGAAAGATAACTACAATAATAATGAAACAGTAAGAGTCGACATAACGACAGACAACGCTATCGAAGTAGTTAACCAATCGGTAAAGTTTACAGAAGAGAAGCTTGTATGAGATTGGGAGACAACCTTATTCTCTGTACATTTTAGACTGTGTAGAATTTGGCATCGATACTTGAAGCCTAAATTGACATATCGCTAATGATGTAAAGACTGGCCCAGATGTTATAAACAAAATGTCAGAGAGACAATTTTATATGTGATAAGTGTAAAGTCCTCATAACAATAGTTGGAATCCGTCTCACTTAGTATAAATGTTAGATTTACAGATAAGATTATAAGTTAAATATAAAATAATAAGGATATAGAAGACTACGATAATGGTGAGTTTTTATACAATACCTACATTTTTATTGGGATTTCGTTCATTATTTTTCTTTGTTTCTTTGCACTTACACCCGATAATTAATTTGCACATAACATCATAAAAAACGTTATAGATTCCACTATACAGCACCATTGCTTTATTTCTTTTGAATTATCTAAAGTTCGTTAACTAAACTGACTATTAATCTTGATCAATTTGTAACTATTTTGTGCTCAACTTCAAATGAACTATTTGCTTTACCTACACACGTAAGTAACAGTATAGTGACTCCAAAATCAATAATTCCAAAAAGCAATTTACCTGTTTTGTTATTTTCATTATCATTTAATGTCACTGCCTTATCATCTTCGATACAATTAGCAAAGGCACGATATTCCTTATCTTTTATATTTAATATCGCGTTAAACAATAACAGTTTTACTTTGGCCATGGTGCAATCATTTATCATTATAATAATATTAATAAATTTTACTGCTGTTACACTTTTATGTGTTTAATATCATCTACTTCAACTACTGCTGTTCTAGTTAGGTAGGAAGTTTTATAGGTCAAAAATAAATTAGGTATATATATTGACATTTCAATACAATGAATGATTAAAATATAATCATACTCTCATTCACTTATTTGACGATATACTTAAGTAATTTTAAATATTTTCATTTATTTTAATAACTTCTGTAAAATAAGCATGCTATTTGACGTAAAAAAATACTCATACGAAATTCATAGAAAA